TGCGCGTCGCGGTTGCTCCATGCTGGGGAGTCGTTGTAACGTTTTCGTCGCGCGGCGACGCTGGGGCCGCCCCGCTATACGAGACCGGCGCCGTCTCTTGCGGCGTGCGTCGCTGCGGCGCGGGGCCAGGGCGTCTCGCTGCGAAGCTGGGCCCTTTTGACATCGTGTGGCGAGGGCGCGCCAGAGCACGGGAGGGCCGAGGTCTCGCACGGGGCCTTCCAGAGCAGGACGCAATACGGCAGCATCCCACCAGTCCGGGGAGCACAGGAGACCACAGGAGACGCCTGGCCGCGGCGCGGTCGCGGATTCTGAGGACTTTGTCGGGCGGGACGCGGGGCGCCATTTGGAGGCAGCGTTTCTGGGGGCCTCCAGCGGGGGCACGCCTCCTCCCCCAGAGGAGGAGGAGGAGGAGGAGGAGGAGGAGGAGGTGGAGGAGGAGGAGGAGGAGGAGGAGGAGAGGGAGGAGGAGGAGGACCTCCCCATCCTCCTTCCTCCCCAGTCCTACCTTTGGTAGTGGCGGTGTGAAATCGGCCCATCAGAGCACGCGCGGGCCCGCCGCGGCGCTCGTCCGCCGCAGCTCGCGACGTGTCCGAACGCGCAGGCGGCGCAGGGGCTGGCGCTGGCGGCCCGAAGCGCCGCGCGCCTCGCCGCGCCAGCGCGGGGGCGCGCGCACGGGCCCCGATCCGGGAAACGCGCTGATTCGGCAGTCCATCTCCTCCTCCTCCTCCTCCTCCTCCTCCTCCTCCTCCTCTCCTCCTCCTCCTCCTCCTCCTCCTCCTCCCTCCTCCTCCCTCCTCTGACCCCCCTCCCTTGGGGGATGCTTTCGTTGGGCGTTGTTGCGTTACTCCCCCCCCCGTGCCCCGCCAGGCTGGGACAGGCGGAAGGTAAGGCAGGCAGAGAAGCAGGCGGGTTCAGAGCGCAATCGGTAATGAACGTGTTTGGAGCACCGAGTCCTCCTTTCGTTACTTTCTCGTTCATCTTTTACTCCTGCACTTCCGCGTTGTGGTTTTCCGCCTTTTCTATCTGCGCATGTTTCTCTTCTTGCTGCTTTTGCTGCTGCTTCTCACCGTCCTCCGTTCCCGCAGTGGCCGCTGCCGTCGTCGTCAACGTGATCGTCGCCGTCCCCATCGTCGTCGCCGCAGTCGTCATCGTCGCCGTCCTGACCCAAACCCAGTTGCCCGCGATTTCAGCACCTCAAGTTCGCAAATACCATGGAGCCCCAAGGCCACGGACACCAATATCCAAGACAGCCAGTCCCCATCCAAGTGTCGACATCAAAGGCACGACCCAACATTCACGTCCCGAACTGCCAACAAAAAGGCGTCTGGTCGTTTGCGCGGCCCGTTTGTTCTTGCGCGGCTAATTCGGGGTTTGTGCGGTCTGGTGCGCTGACCATTCATTGCTAGTAACACGTGCACGTTTTTGGGTAACAATCAGAATCTTCTGCAGCTCCTAAGGGGCTCGCGGGCCCAATGAGAACAGCGTGGCCACAACAACACCCGTGTGGACGCATGGTGAAAACAATTTTGCAGTAGCAGCAGAAGTTGTAGTCGGAATTGGAGTTGCAGTAGCAGTAGCAGTAGCAATTGTAGTCGTTTTAGCCGTAGTCGTCGTAGTCGCAGCAGAAGTGGTAATAGTTGTCGCAGTCGTGGTAGTGGCGCTAGTCGCATCAGTATTTGTATTGTTAGTAGTTGTAGTAGTTTACGCACTCATAGCAGGATCAGTCCCAGCACCCTGTACCATGATTCGTATCAGTGGTGGCTGCGATCGCGGCAGAGTAGCGGTGGTAGTTGCAGCAAAAGCAGCAGTTGAGCAGTAGCAGTTGCAGTGGCAGTTGAAGCAGTAGCAATCACAATGGCAATTGGTCCCAATCATACTCGTAGCAACAGCAGCAGCAGCATTGGGGCTAATGGCAATGACGACGGCGATTTCGGAAAGGGGGTTCACTCGACTCCCTCGTTTTCCGCGCTGGTACCGAACGACGTAAATTGCGGGGAAGTTCCAAACACCGGCACGAAACGCCCAGATCGCCCTGTGGACACGAAACGCCCAGAGCGCCCTGCGACGATGCAGCGGAATGGCGACGAGAGACACCCCGTTTTCTCCTCCCTCACTCCTCATGCATCCTCCTCTCCCCCCCACGCCATGACGACGGCGACGACGACTCACGACGGACCACGATGCAAGATGAACCACCACGACGATGGACAAGCGTTCCAGTGTGGCTTCTCCTCCACGGCGGCGGCCATCGACGATCCTCCTCAGTACGATGCCCTGAGAAACTCCGAAGAGGTCCCAAGAAGCTTATTATATATATATATATATATATATATATATATATATATTATATATATATGTATCCCCCCTCGAGGCCCTCGGGAGGCGCCGAGGGGGAGGCCCCCCGCCCCTGCCTGAGTGTAGCCAGACTCCCCCCCCCGCCGCACTCGACGATTCACGTGTTCCAGAATCCCCCCAGGCCATACACACAGATACATTGCCGCCCCAAGAAGGAGCCTCATGGGTTCCCAAATTATGTATGTACCCTCTCTCCCCTTGCTCCTCTGCCCATGCTCCTCGCCCACTGCTCCGCGCTGCCCGCCCCCTCTCCTTGCTCCTTGCTGCTCGCTTCGCGCTCCTTCCTCCTCCTTGCTCCTCTCTGCTGGCCCCTCGATCT